ACAGCAACAACATCAATCCACTGACGAAGAACAAATTAAAATATACCAAGCAAGAAAAACTTGTGTTTTCCAGTCTAGCCTGTTGGGGCACCATACCAAAAAAAAAAACTTTTGTAGTACAATCTTGCTGCCCTGATAAGTGAGCAGTGTGTGATCATGATAGAAAAAACTTACTCTGTGCAATTTTCCTGTCCTTTTCTTACTACTGAATGTTTCAGTTAATGTACAGTTCTTTACAGTGTTCCCCTGTGATCACTGTGTCCTTTGGAAAAATCTACCAGTATTATCCCTTTGGGATCCCCAAAGCCAATCTTCATAACCTGAGCTGACCCTGAATTTAACTGGTCCAGCAGATAGATCTCCTCTGAAAGCCCCTGTTTAGACTGGACTTTTTGGAGGCTGACAAGTGTATTCCTGAGAGAACCTCTCTACAGCCATATACTTTTCAGAGACCATATTCAAATAGGCTTTATCTAGAATAAACCTCTTCATGTATCATTTGGAACCTAGTAGAGTTTTTTTACTTAGAATAGTAAGGCTTTGGTGTTTTATTAGCTTTTTACATCCTACTTAAGAATTTTCACGTAAAATAGTACACAATGTATCGAAGCACAATAAGTCTTTCAAATCTTTTTTTAAATAATTTTTATTTGACATTAATCAGAATATTTAACAATCAAGATGGAAAATCTGGGCTGGTCCTAAGATGATTAGAGAAAAGGAAAGTTTTGGTAGAAGTAAGCCAGTAAATTTCTGGATTATTGACTTCATACTTCATCACCACCATTTTAACCAACTTTTTTGTCAAGGCATTTAATTCCCATGTTCTTCTGGTTGAATATGATCACCTTACACATAATCCTAAAATGTTAGCTTTCAGTCATTACATTGGTTAGGGGAGAGACAAGGTTATACGCAACAGAGAGGTTCGTTTACACTTCTCTGCCCATCACATGGAGAAGATTTTTTAAGATACACAATCAAGGAATTGCCCTTGTTTTTTATTACGTCTTAAACCATACAAGAATATATTTTATAGGAAATTTATGCCATTATTGAGCCCTGGTGCCATAGTAGTTAATTAGCTGCTGAACCAAAGGTGGCAAGACCACCAGGTGCTCTGTCAGAGTTATATTTGGCAATTTACATCTGTAAAGATTTACAGCCTTGAAAGCCCTGTGGGTGGTTCCACATTTGTCTTTGCAGGGTTACTTTGGGTTAGTCGGTCGTCCATTATAAAAATTGGTTTTGCTTTTTGAAAATTATGAAAGTGTTCTTAGATACATTATTTATCAAGGGCTATAAAGAAAGTTATTTTCCCCCATTGTACTCTTGTGCTTACATCTCAAGGAAACCATTTAAAAGGCAAATTAGCTAGGTACTGAGATACTCTTTGGCAGTACCATCTTCAGTTATGCAAAGAGTCTGGTTAGTCCTGGCGAAAATGGTTAAGGGAATGTGGATGTATCATCGTCTTAGAGACTGTTACATCACCACTACAGCTATGGAATATCTAGCAAAAATGAACTAGCTTATAAAAGAGCTAAATACAGAAGTCCATACATGTGCAGAATACAGCTATGTGTGTTATATATATATAAAGCAAATTTTAAAAAATCTCTCAGATAAAAAAATTTGCAGAAGAACAAGGATTGGGAGCATGGGGAAATACAAATATTCATGTTTTGTTAATAGGATTATATGTGAATTTTTTAAATTTACTTTGGTAGTGGTTATTTTAATGAATACTTAAAGTGAGGAAGTGTGTTATATTTTAAAGCTGAAATTTTGCATATTACATCATTGAAAGATAATCTTGATTGAGTAAGCCATTTATATGAAAAAATATTTAACCATCAGTGGTTATATACTGTTGTATATAAAGGCAGCATTGACCTCATGAACCTGTATTTTTCAGTTTGAAAGATGCAGTATTAACCTTCCAACAACATTGTGGTTGTCTTACTGTGTCTCTTTCAGGAGAAAGAGACTAAAAAGAATGAGCCCAAAGAAAAATATCAGAAAAGGCATGATTTGGACAAGGAGGAAAAGGGCAGAAAAGAGTCAAAAGGATTAAAAAGTAAGTATGAATGCTAACATTTTATCATCTAGAAACATTGACGTCTTTCATACAAAGGATGAAGAAAAACTATCGCTAACCTTCAGTGTCATAGAGCTGGAAATCTTTGACTATGGAGAATCAATTTGGAGCCATTGGCTAAGTGGTGCTAAACTAGTTATCTGAGTTTGAAAATCAGAAATCAAACTTGTTACTGTGAGCTGATTCTGCCTCCCGGTGCCCCGTGTGTTACGACAGAGTGAAACTGCTCAGAGGTTGTCTGGTGTGTGGGGCTTGGTCTCCAGACCTCCTGCAATGTTACTGGGTGTGTCTAAACTTAGAACTTTCCATTAATAACAATTTGTATTAGGTTTTGTAGTTAATTTTCCCCTTAGTTTATGTTATTTTTCCTCATGCTGAGGGTGATTGCGGAACAGGTTGATTACTGAGAAAAGAAATTATAGCAGAACAATAAATGTCTCTTTTACAGTAGATGCTAAAAAACGTTTGGTGATTTATTCATTGCACTTTTGGCTCATTTGTTTAAATATGAAGGTAAGTCAAAAGTATTAGTATGAAATCAGATTTTTACTAAGCACAAGTATCGAAATGTGAACCTTTTATTTCCTGACATCTCCTCCATCTGGTCGTACACGAGTAAAGGCAGTGTTTCCTTCCTCCAGTTTTCCCTGATGAAGTCTGTGTGCGTGTATCATGTCCAGATGGCATTCTGACCTCCTTGAGGGCCTCCGCTCAGGATTTTCTAGTGCTCTTTAAATTGGGGAAGCACGGGAATCTGAAAGGCAAGAGCAAGGTTGTCAGGTGGATAAGGTAACGCTCTCAACACAGTCCCCGTAGGCTAGCCCTGGCAGCCCTGCAAGAATGCGCCCATGCACTGTCGTGATGAAAACATTCCCTGGTGCGCTTTTCATGGCCTTTTCTCACCGGTGAGTTTCCAACTTTCTCAGCGGTTTATATGTTTGGCTGATGTCCTTTGAGAAAATCTATCTCCAATTAGCCCTTTGCGATCCCGTGGGATTCAATAGCGTTCTGGTGAGTTTCCTTGGCCCAGCAGAACCCCTTGGAAGCCACTCTGCTAAGGGAACTTTTCTCTGGATCACATTGGTGAATCCAAGAGCTGGAGGAGATTTCCCGTGATTGAAACTAGGGAGCAGCAGTTCTCTAATGGAACGTGCACAGAGACTCTGACTTCAAGACTGTGTGGGAGTGGACATTTATTCTTACTTCGTTTCTTCTCCAGGTGAAGATAACTCTTTATAAATGTCCTAGAGAAATATAGTAGCTTTCTGTTCACCCTTGGCAAGTAAAAAGGGTGGATCGTTCCACTACTGACACCAAAAATATAAATAAATAAAGACTATATGGGTTTACAATAACAAAAAAAATTTAAGCCTACTGTGTGGAGGTTAAAATACTTTATAAGTAGAACTGGTTAGTTTATTTTTCATCCTAGTAACTTGTATGTGAATTTCAGTTACATTTTCATCTACATGTATAGTTTTAAATGAAATTATTCATCCGGTTCCTTGTTTGCAGTACCCCATAAAAAAAGCTTATCAGCTGTGTACCTGGAATTTTATAACAGGTTTTCTTGATGTGGATGAAAAATGGTGCTTTTCTTGATAGCACAAACTGTTGTAAAAACCATCTGTGTGAAGTAGACATTGGTGTCAGGAACGTTCATGGAGAATATGTTCTAGAAATCAGAGGTAGCTGCATATGCGCTCTGGCAGCAGTTGAATAAATAGGCCCAGATGGTTCAGCTGAGGCTAACATCGCATGAGGGCACAAGCTTTGTCTGTGGGAAATTTGGGGTAGTACCTGGAGAAGTAACAACATTGTGCAAAACCCAAATTGAATTAATTTGGCAAGTGTTGTAAAGTTTCGTACAGAAAAAGGCTTTTTTCGAAGTACATTTCCATTTCACAGCAAGAGTGCCATAGAATGCAGAAGAGGGCACCATGCAAGCTATCTAACTCCTTGAGAAAAGAATGCATACAATTTAAAATGATTTCCCATGATCCCATCTAGGGCTTCGTGAACTGCACGGTGGAGGTCGTGGGAAGCATGGCCCACAGAATCATCTAGAAAGCAGTCGCTACCACCTGTGTTTGTTCTTTGTGCTTTGTTTTGCTCTGTCCTTCAGTTTTCTTAATCGACTCTGCTGCTGTTGTTGCTCCGTGCCCACCTTGATGAAAGTCGTGACCATTGAACATAGCACTCTGGCAGTCAAGACGCTCAAAGCCTGCCGTCCTCCGGGGTGAAGAAAGCATGTGAAGCACAGAACTCAGACTCACGAACAAGGCGGTCACAGCTCTCCCTGCCTCGAGGCCTTCTGCGGCTTTCCCAGTCAGGTCACATCACAGGAGAACTGACTTAAATTTGCTTCAACGCCAATGTAAGAAAATTCTGGTTCTGGAGTGCTGTGAATAGTCCAGGCAGTTCCATCCAATTTCACTCCATTCATTGAAGACCCACAAGGATTGAACAAGGTGGCATCAGTGACAGAATCTGGGATCGAGTGGCGGACTCTCTCACGACTGACGTCCTTTGCAGTAGAAGTCGCACCTTCCATTTAGACCTGGTCCCTAACTGCCAGGTCACGCTCACTCGTCAGAATTCTAAAATTAGATCTGGTTGACAGATGACTCTGGCAATCCAGAGTATACCAGTACCAGCAGTCAAACAGAGTCAAACCGCTGTAATCCCTGGCAGCTTCCACGGGGGGACCAGTGCTTTCAGCAAGAGAGTGCTCCCACATGGGTTCAAAGTGAACTGTCTCTTGGAGACAAACACGCTGCTCTCACCGACTACTTAAGTTCCTGCTTGTCGGTGTTTGTCATACTTAGGATTGAACATTACACCTCCTTCAAAAGTAAATACCACTCAGACTTTGGGATGGTGCGAAGACCCCTCAGATCCTTGGTCTGCATTGGCTGCTGCTGGAAGAACCAAATCTCCAGCAGCTTCTCGGCCCTTTGAAAACATAGGCTACTTCCATCACTGTGAGACTAGCCAACAACCGACCACAGAAAACCAACTACTTTAATCTGTTCTCCTGCCCCTGCCACCGCTGCGGATTGTTCCAGCTGTGTTTAAAGTTCTGGTTGCTTTTTTTCCCCCTATAATTTTTCACTTAAAAAAAAAAAAAGATTAATAAGAATTTCCTGGCTTTTTCTTTGTAAGTAGAAGTTGGCCACAGGTCTGTTGGAAATAGAGGCATGTATAGTTCAGTCTCTTGTAGTCTGAGGTTTCCTCCTTACAGAGTAGAGGGAATGCTAGCTAATGTCACGGCCATGCTGTGGAAGCTGTGGTTTACTTCCTATTACTCTGTTTTACCCTATTTTTTTGGAGGGGGGTGCTTTAAAGCTCGTCGTTTGCCAATGCACTTCTGCTTTCATCTTTAACTGGGTAGCGTTCACAGACCTTAGAGTTTGATCGGCTGCATGATCGCTGCCTGGCGTGCTTTTTCTGCCCTCTCACCGCGGAAACCATCTTGTCCAAAGCTGGCTGCAGGATAGAGTTGAAGAGCAGTGGAATGTCTTAGAGGTTGTGGATAGGACTAGGGTCATTCGGAGTCACCCCCTTGACTGGGATTAATTCAGAACCCCTGGTTAACAGCCGTTGACTTGGACAACCTTTCTAGAGATGGACCAACCAATATGAAGGCTAAATTTTAAGTTGATCAGTTGAAGCTACTTTGTAGATTTAATAATAAGTCAGATCATGCTTTTGTAGTCAAGACAGAGATTTTTAGTAAAAAAATCTTTTTCTAACACTAACCTGAATATCTGTATCAGAAATGTGTTATTCTTATTTACCATGTTTATTTTTTGCACCAGTGAGTAAGGAAATCAGAAGTGCATTTGATATATTTCATTTAACACCAGAAGAAAAAAATGATCTTACTGAGAATGATTGGAAAAGAGAAGAAATACCAGTGGACTGTAAAATCACAGACGATCACAAAACCAAGGAAAACAGATTATCTAAAGAAAAGAAAACTACAAGAGATGAAACGGACACTTGGGCATATATCGCTGCAGAAGGGGACCAGGAAGGTCAGAACAACGTATGTCAAACAGATGAGAATTCTGGTAAGCATGTTGTCATTTTCTTGCGCTTTTTTTGTCATCATTTTCCAGGATTGTGCATCATATTTAATTTCACTCTCCTCACTCTTCTCCCAGTGTAATTCTCATCCCAAGATTTTTTAAAAAAATAGAAATTTCCATTTGGATATCCTGAACAAATGACTTCATATTGGAGATAGGTCATTCTGTGAGTTCTACATTAAACAACCATTTTCTGAGTTCCTGTAATGTGCTCAGCACATTACATATATTTCTGATTACTTTATTCTTGCCAAGCAGCCTGGTTGTATATTTTATTCTATTTCTTTCCACAGAAATGATCAAATATATGCTTACTATATTCTGCTCTGTAATTTGGTGGTAAATAACAACATGTAAGGCGATTTTAAAAGCTGTCCTGAGAACAATGGCATTTGGCTAGGTAGAAACTTGTATAGAATACAAACTGCAGCAGCTGTTGGGCGGGGCTATGAGCTAATAAGCATGAGGTGCATGATGAGAAGGGGCCCTGGCGGTGGGGTTACGCATTGGACGGGTCCATGTGGTCAGCAGCTCTCAGTGGGAGAGACTGGGCTTTGTACTCCCGTCAGCAGGTACTGTCTTGGGAACCCCCAGGGCCCACTGAGTCAGCATTCACTCCATGGCGGTGAGGAGGAAGAGTTAACTTAAAAGTAGGACAGAATAAATAGAGGCAAATCCAATAAGACTTCATGTAATTTATGAATTGTGAAGAATAATTTGAAGAGAATTTTTGAAGTATTTCAGAACGGACAAACTAGATAAAACATACCTTTTTGATGCACTTGGTGAGCTTACAGGAAATTGGAGCCTTTCCCAAAACAGTTGGGCCAGGGGGAGGAGATTGCTTGCCAAGAGGATAGAGCCAAGTAATTTTGCTCTTAGGGTCTTAGAATAGATGGGGTAAGGGTGTGAGAACCAAGTCAGAGTTGCTTCCTTAGAAAGATGAACAAAATTAAAGACAAACGACCGTCATGATTACTGGGGCAAGGTTGGAATAGAAATGTAATACTTTAAATATATAGAGAGAGATTGTATAATTATTAAAAAGAATGGTGTGAGCCCAAGAGGCAAGCGAATTTTGGGAATAATGAGGGCAACAAATGTATAGATGTGTTTTATACAATTGATCTATGTATTGTGATGAATTGTACGAGCCCCAATAAATTGATTTAAAAAAACAAAAAAAAAGAATGGTGTGAGCAATTTCTTGCTAAAAACTTTGTAAACAGAATGAAATCGACAAAGTCCTGGGAAAGTACAAAATAACAAACTGTCATCGAGTCAATCCAACTCATAGTGACCCTATAGGACATGGTAGAACTGCCCCTGTGCATTTCTGAGACTGACAATCTTTACAGGAGTGGAAAGCCTCATCTTGCTCCCATGGAGCAGCTGGTGGTTTCAAACTGCTGACTTTCTGGTTAGCAGCCCGTTATGCAGCCCACTACACCACTGGGGTTCCTTATGTGTAAGGGCTACCATGTTTATGAGTCAGAATTGATTTTGATAGCACTGAGTATAATGATCAAAGAGGGAAAAAGTAATGGGAGATTTACATAGAATTTTTCTTTGAGAATCTAATTTCTCCCTTCCCTAGAGCTATGTAGTCATAGACTACAAATATTTATTTCACTTTGTGACCGTGGTCAGTTTCCTAGTCGTCTTTGAAGTACTGAAATGTGGAGAGTGCATATTGCTTCCACCCCAAATCAGGATTTTCCCAAAGAAGACTTGATTAAAAGTGGTAAAAGTTTTGGTCAAGACACTACAAATGTAATAAGCAGCAGCTCGTATAGTCTAGAACCGATTCCCTTATTAAGACTCTTGTGTTTCAGATGGCAAACAACACATTCTGAGTTTGGGCATGGACTTGCAGCTGGAGTGGATGAAACCAGATGATTTTCAGAAGCATCTAGATGGAGAAGATGAGAATTTCACTTCCGTCGATGTAGTTCCAAGTAGTGAGTGGTTTTGGAATTTTAGGAATCCTTTGCTCAACTTTAGATAAATAAAGCCTAATTTATCTTTTCTCTCATTTTAGGTGTATTGAGGGAGGCTGTGAAAAATGGGGACTACATTACTGTAAAGGTTGCACTTAATTCAAGCGAAGAATATAACCTGGACCAAGAGGTAAGGTGTTGTATCCGTTGTTTGAATATCTGACTTTTTGAAAAACAAAGTTTCTGTCGTCGTTTTTTGCAGTTACCCATTTGTCCTTATTATACAGTGCTGCTGTGACCAGTCCCACAAATGGATGGCTGTAACAAACACATCTTTCCTCATAATGTAGGAGGCTAGAAGTCCAAATTCAGGGTACCAGCTATAGAGAGGGGAAAGCTTTCTCTCTCCGTTGACTTGGGAGGAAATCCGAGTGTCTTGGCATCCATCTTCTCACATCTCTGCTCTGTTTGCTTGTATAATCTCAGATCTCAAAAGAGAGTGGCCCGAGATATACACACCAAACCAAACTCACTGCCATCAAGTCCAGTGCAACTCAGAGTGACCCGATAGGACAGGAGAGGACTTCCCCGTGGGCTCCTGAGACTAACTCTTTACAGGAGTAAAAGCCTTATCTTTCTCCTGACGTTGGTGGTTTTGAACTGGTGACCTTGTGGTTAGTAGCCCACTTCATAACCACCACATCACCCTGTAGAGCAGCGGTTCTCAACCTGTGGGTCGGAACCCCTTTGGGGGTCAAATGACCCTTTCACAGGGGTTGCCTAAGACCATCAGAAAGCACATTATTTCCGGTGGTCTTAGGAACCAAGACACCGCTCCTCTATCCGTCTCCATCCACATGCAGATACGGCCACATACAAGTACCCAGCATGAAGACTGTTACCCATGCTACACCATGCTTCAAGACAAAATTTCATTAATTTGTCATTAGAAATCAATATTTCACAATATATAATTACATACTGTTTTTGTGATTAATCACTATGCTTTAGTTATGTCCAATTTGTAAGAATGAAAGTGTATCCTTCCTATCACATTACAATTCATAACAGTAGCAAAATTACAGTTATGAAGTTAGCAACAAAAATAATTTTATGGTTGGGGGTCACCACAACATGAAGAACTGTATTTAGGGGTCGCAGCATTAGGAAGGTTGAAAACTACTGCTGTAGAGTAACTGTGAGTCAGAATTGACTGATGGGAGAGAAATACTCTGGGAAATATTTTAAAATTTGCCTGTTGGCATTTCAGATCCTTCCAAGATATGCACACACTCTAGTGTAGTCTTGATTTCATTAGCATAACAAAGATAACCTTTTTCATTAGCAGAGACGACCTTTTTTTACATACATTTTTGTAGAACATACTTCAATCCAGAATACATCTTTCAATTGCTACTGGAATTTTTTTTCTCGAATACTGTTTTTATTGACATACATTACTCATGCCAATATGTCCTCTCCCTTCCCATAGTTCTGTTGTTAATTCCCATCCGGTGGGCCTCATGCAATCATCAGTGCTATCTACTCTCTTCTCCCCCTTCTCCCGTACCCTCCAGGAACCATTACTCCTGTCAGTGTCTCTGAGGGCCATCTATCTTGACCACCATGTACCGAGCGATCTTAAATGAGCAAATGAATGTACGCAAATCTAACATCACTAGTGACTAATGAGGTATATCACCTGTGGACCACAATAGTAAGGGGAGGAAATCTTAAAGAACTCGAGGATAGTTAATGCAGTTCATCAGTACTACATTGCACCCTGGATTTATCCTCCGTTCTGTGAGGCCCTACTGTCCAATTGTCTTGCTGGCTGACTGCGTCTCTACTACATCCAGGCCCCTTCATATCATCTGGACCTGTGGTTTTTGTGAGGCTATATGGAAGCTTATTCGTTCTTCATAGTTTTCAGAGGTTTTTCTTGATTTATTGCATAAAGAATTTTTCTGTTTAGGTATTTACATCTGATCTCGTACGGTATGGCTGTTTGCCATTTTGATTAGAAGAAAAGATTTTTATGTTTTCATCCATTAGGTTTAGATGTGGAATTTTTAGTTTTAATTTTTTGGGATTGGCTATCGAGACCTATAGTGTCTGGGGACTTAAAGGCTTGAAAGTAAACAAGCGGCCATCTAGCCCTGAAACAACAAAGCCCACATGGAAGCAGCACACCAACATGTGTGATCA